GGCTTCCAGAAGCTCTGCGCATCCCCCCCACCGCCACACACACACACAGGACATCCACTAAACAACACAATTTAAGCATAGCAGCCAGCATGGGGGCGCAGACCTGAGGGTCCCCGCTGGTCCCCCTAATTCCCAAGACCCACTTAACAGATGGAGAAACTGAGGCCTCCCGGAGCAGGACCAGGACCCCTGCTCCAGGGGCATGGGCAGGCTGTTTCCGGCTCACCCAGCCTGCAGCAGAGGTAGGTGGAGCCCCTCCCATGGCCGGCCAGCTCCCCCAGGGCAACACAGCATGTGGACCAGTGTGCAGAGAGATGGCCTTTCTCCCGGAACCCCAGGAAGGCAGGCGCAGCACTGTGCAAAACAGCTGTGTACTCATCGCAGGGAGGGCAGGCGGCCATGGAAAATAGCCCTGCCCGCCCCTCTGCCGGCCTCGCGCCCCGGGACCCTGGCGCCGGAAAAACAAGATAGGCGGGAGGGGGCGGGCAACTGAGCTGGCCAGGGCCTGGGCTTCAAAAATGCAGAGTAAATCATCAGTGCCTTGTGGGCAGGGCCGTTTCTTTCTTATTCAAGGGTTCTTAAATTCTGGGCATTGGACCCCTCGGAAGCCTTGCAAAGCCAGGGACCCTTCCCAGAACGTCTTGATGCGCATAAAACATTCAGGATTGCAAAAAACCCTAATTACCTTGAAATAGTTCTCAAAATACTCCAAGCCGTGAGAGCTGGCTGTGCGCTTTTGGAGGAACTCAGGTCTCACAGCGCCTGGTAACTTCCTGGAGGCCCGAGCTCAGATCCAGATTCGGGGGGCTGCGGTGGGAAGACAGGACCCACCCACCAGCGACAAGGTGGCAGATCCCGCTGATGCCACCGCCTCGGTGCCTGGTGAGGGGAAGGAATTCTAAGCTTCAGTCCGAGCCTGGAGAAAGCCAAGATCCACTGTGCTTTCCACCCAGTGACACCGACTGCTGGGTTCTCTCCCCAGACCCGGGTCAGGACCCCCAGGGATCACCCTAAGACCCCAGCTGCCACCTGGACCCGTCAGGGACTCAGTGGAGGAAAAACATCGTCAGCCATGTTCAGCTCAGCATCTAGGAAGCAGATCATATCCTAAACTTTTTGTCCCAAATCCTAGAAGAAGGAAAACTTTGCAATAAATCTGACGGCGATTTCTAAGTGTGGGATTTGGGGTAGCTTTTTCCTTTTTTGCTAATGTCATATCCATGTCATCTAGGTGACAGCTATATCTCATGTTGTCACCATCCAACTCCTATACAAGAAACAGGCCTAAGGAAAAAACCCAGTGAACAAGCACTGAGCAGCACTCTTTAAGGCAGTGAATCTCCCAGGACGTAAGTTACATCTCAAGCCAAGAAAAGTGCTTAACCCATTTTGGGGGGCTCAGCTGGGGCACCCTGTTAATTCATTGAAGAGCTAATCAGCCAACTAGACTAGCACAGCCTTGGCCCTCTGGGGAAATGTGAGCATCATCTGGGGGATGCTAAGGAATCATTCCCATCATATTTGGGGGGGCGGGGTGCACCCCCATGTGCGACAAGAAAGACGCTCAGAGGCACAGGTGTCTCTGCTTGTTATTTCTTACACCAGGACGGGAAGCCATGATTCTCACCCTAAAATGTTTAATCAAAAAGAGTTCAAACTGGGCGTGGTGGCTCACGCCTGTAATCCCAGCAGGTGGGAGGCTGAGGCAGGAGGATCCTTGTGAGGTCAAGGCCAGTTTGGGCTACAAAGTGAGCCCGAGGCCAGCCTGAACTGCACAGCGAGACCCTGTCTCAAAAAGATTAGGGGGTGGGTGGCCTGAAAGACGCAGAATCAGGTTTTACTTCAGTTTGACCCTGGCTTGTGGGCAGCGGGTGTTGCACACGGAATGTCAGCCAGCCTTTTATGCTTTTGAAAGTTTCTACAGTGAAATCTTCTAGAATACTGGCTTTAAAAACACTAATTAGACAAGCACTAATAAAGAAAATGCATGAGATAATCCACTTTCTAGAAAAAATAAGTTTTACGTTTTGAAAATTTAAGAAAAATCGCTGTGCTTGTCTCTGTGCTCCTTTTGGGAGATAAACCCGCTGTCCTTCCCCGTCCGACGGACACCAGGAGTCCGGGCTCTGGGTGGTGCAGAGTGGGCAGGGGCCTGGGTTTGAGGTCCAGCCCGTCCCTCTCCCATACCGTCTCAGTGTCCCCGCGGGTCAAGCAAGGAATTCTGCCTGGGCGGGACCTCCAGTTTCCTCCTGGACAGCGCGTCCCAGGTCATCAGCCCCGTGTTTACTTGGACGCTGGGGATGGCGGCCTGGGGCTACTGTCCATGGCGCAGGCTCAGACACACCCTGGAGAAGCCACAGCCCCCGCCACTTCCCAAAACACGGGAGCCAGGCGGAGAGTCCACCTGAGCTCCCCCCAAGCACCCTTGGCCTGTGCAGGGCCCCTCAGTGTGTCCCCGCCTCCGGCCTCTCCCTGCCCCTATTCCCAGTGCCTGCGTGGCGCTGAGGTTCCTGGGACTTGGCTGGGAAACGCCAGGTCCAGGATGGACGATGGACAGGGCTTCGGGGTGACAGGGAAGCCCAGACTCACAGGGACACCTGCACACCCCACCCCGGGACCCACCTCCTGACGCCCCCTGGCTCCGGACAGGACCTCAGCCTGCTGCCCACCATCTGCAGATGGGGCCTGGTCCAGTCCTGCTGGGCCACAGGTTCTGCTGGGCGTTCCCAGGCTCCGAGGTCAGAGAGGGCCGGGCCAGGAGCCCCACTGTGGGCGAGAGCTGAGCCCCCGTCCAGGGAGGGGAGCACCTCCTTCCATCCACGCCATCTGCCATCCTCAGTGTGGACTTCACCCCCGCTGCGCTTGGACGCCTGCCCGCCCAGCTGAGCACGTCCTGCGGAGCGCCCAGGAGGAGCAGGGCAGCCGTGGGTGATGCTCCAGGAGGAACTGTGGTTTAGAGGGGCCCCCAGCCTCCAGGTGTCCCTTGCTGCAGGGTGGAGGCTGAAGCAGGCGTGTCTCCACACCCCAGCCCATGGAGGCTCTGCACACCCTGGCCTGCGGCAGCGTCCCAGGCAGTCACACAGTGTGGTCAGGAGAGACTCCACAGGCGGGCAGCTGGGGCTCTGCACTGGGACCCCTGCCCCTGAGCCTTTGCCGGTAAATCATCCCTGAGAGGAGGAGCACCCCACACAGCCTGAGCCACCCAGCAGTCACAGAACCAGGGGGCTGGAGCCTGGCACTCTGCCTCTCGTATCCTGGAGACACCCCCCAAGGGGATCACTCGGGGAGGGCAGCGTGGCACAGTGTCCAGAGTGAGCCTCCCGGCATGGCAGAGGTACCAGTGACATGAGGCCAGAAACCAGGGGCTCCCACATTCCACAAGTCCAGCTCCGCAGGACCCCAGCCACCAGGTGACCCTCGGCCACAGACCCGGGAGGGGCGCAGGGCTCAGCCATCCCCATCTGCGAGCCCCATCCTGACACTGCTCGTCTCTGCCTGACACAGAGAGAAGCTCCAGCAGGCTGCCTGTGCTGGCCCAGGGCACCCCTCTGGGCAGAGCCTAAGGCAGGTGGCGTCAGTGTCATCCTGGGGGCCCTCTCTGAGTGGGGGAGACAGCTCCTAATCCCTTAGTTCCCCTCAGCAAGGTCCCCACCACCACAGGAGGGAGGGTGAGGAGGAAGTTCCCAGGAGGAGGCGCAGCAGCCGGCACCCATTTACTGACCGACAGGCAGATGTTCCGGGGGAGTACTACTCACCCACAAACATGGAGGAGCTGTGAAACCTGTGACACGCAGGGACAGAAGCCAGAGAGGAGGACACCGCCCGTGATTCCATTTATAAGACGGAGCAGAAGAAGCAAAAGAGCCTCCCTTAGGGTGGACCGGGGTCCGGGTGACAGCTCAAGGGTCCAGGGCTTCTCTCTGAGGTGACGAAATGTCCTATGGTTGTGGGGACTGCCCGACAGCGGTGAACACACCAAAACCACCGCACAGTGTACTGCACAGGCGACGGGGCGGTGTGACACAACACCCCAACAACACCGAGGGAGACGGAGGGCCCAGGAGCCCAGCTTCACCGCTCCCCAGCTCTGCGACCAGCACAGGCAGCTCACCCCTCGGTGAAGGGGTCGTCACAGAGACACACACTCAGCAGGAGGCGAGGTCCTGCCCCCTCCTGCCCACCCCAGGGGAGGTGGACAGGTACCTGCATTTATTGCTGCGAAGGCTGGCCGGCCCCTGGGCGAGGAGAGGAGGCATCTATGCTGACCACAGCACAGAGGGGTGCAGTACATGGCCCAGCCCCCACCCACACCGTCGCCCTGACCTCCACGATGGACTCAGACCACGAGGAATCTTGGGGCCCTGGGCATCAGGCCCTCTTGGCTCCCTGGCAGCCACATGGTGACACAACGGCTGCCAGAGCACCAGTGTGCACAGCATTGTGCCCGCCATGGGAGACCTGAGATCTTTCAGTGCTGCTGCTTCCTCTCTCCCAGTTTGCCTGGTTAATGAACATGTATTTCATGTTCTTGTTAAGAAACATCTTTCTGTGGGCTTTGAGGATATAGCAGTACAATCTCTACTCTCAGAAAGCTGAAAATCTACTTAGGGAAAAGAAGCTTTGGAGCCCAAGCCCCCGGAGACCCAGACACGACCGTGACTCACTCTGGGAGCTCAGGGAAGGTGGTGGGGGGCTGCTGGGACTCCAGGAGGAGCCCAGGGGCAGCTTGAGGTCACCGGGAGATGTCCTCACAGGGACAGCAGGACCGGCCACCCTCCTCGTGCCCTCCCTACTAGGAGGCGAGCCTTCAGGATGCAGGATCCTCACCACTGCCCCCCACACACACCGGAGGCCCAAAGCCAAGCTGCCCCGCTCGGACTGGAAACTCCAAGACCCCAAGCCAAAAGAAACCTTGTCCCTGTATAAGTTAATTGTCCCAAATATTCTGTCACAGGGACAGAAAGCTGATTAACACACACACAGCTCCCAGGCCCACCAGCCATTCTCAAAATCAGGTTTTCAGCATCTTTGACTACAACACCTTCCAGTACCAATAAAGTAACAATTTGTAATAATGATAAACTTCCGTGCCACATCTGAGCATCTGAAAGGGGCATTGCCAGCTAGTGTGACGGTAGATTTTAAAACCTCAGTGATCAAGCTCGTGCTGTAAAGGATGGGCACCGGCCCTGTCCCTCCTGGGCAGTGGCTGGAAGCCCAGAACTACATTTCCCAGAATACACTGGACCCCAGAGGTGTGGGAGGCTGACCCTGCCCTGGCCAGGTGACAGTGCCTGGCGTTATGGATTAAAAACTGGTGGTCAACTTAACGCCAGCTGAATTAAATGAGCATGGTGCTGGGTGTAGATGGCCACCTGAGGAAAGCTGCCAGCATGGAGATGTGGAGAAGGAAAGGCCAGGCGTGGAGGGTTTCTCCGAGTGTTGCCGTTTGAGCTGTTGGTTCTACTGGAGGAGCTCGTCATGCTGGCTTCCCCAGTGTGAGTTCCACCATTGTCACTGGAGGAGTTTGGAACTTTGGTGAGAGTGGCTGTGGTTCACTTTGGGGCAGCTCCGGTCCTCACACTGACCATCGCTTCTGGCTCTGAGGGGAAGACCTGTGCCGTTTCATCTCCAGGAGAAGCTCGTCATGCTGGCTTCCTGGCATGCACTTGACTGTTCTTATGAGAGGAGCTTGGGACCTCCATGTCTCTGAGGATGGCTGTGGTGCTTTTCAGGGCAGCCCTGGGACTTATTTTGAGTGTGACTTCTCGGCTCCAGTGCAGAACCCTCATCCCACCAGCACAGCTCCTTCATCCTGCTGGCATAGACTTCCTAGCTTCCATCACTTGACCTCTGGGCCTTCCCAGTGCGGATCTGTAAAACAGACTGGTGTGAGTCCTTCTCGTGGGCTCTTGACCTCCAGTTGGACTCGTGGGAGGCACTGTCATGGGCGCTGGGTCTTCAGCTGGACTCATGCAGGACATTGCTGTGGGATCCAGGCCCTTCGCTGAATATTCTATGTCTTTAGTGTTGTAGACAGATTTCCTTCACTTTCTTATATTTAACTCTGGGTGACATCATAAAATATATTATAAATTCTGAGTCTTGAGTCTAACTGTTCTCTGTACTACCCCTAACTACAACACCTAGTGACAGCTGCAGGCCTCTGGCCATCTGCAGCAGTGTCCCACCCCTGTGACTTCTTGGCGTGGCTCGGCACAGCCTCTGTACCTACAGAGGAAATAAGAGTCCCGGCCGCACTGCCCCAGACCCTTCCCGACACCTGGCTCACCAGTCTGTGATCTACGCGCTCAGAAGCCAGGTACTCTCGAGACTCCCTAAGTGGGGAGCAGGGACTGGGTGGCCGGGCATCCAAACTGTCGCTTGATAAGGGTCAGCGCCCCAGCGTAGGGCTGAGCCTCAGAGCATCTTAGGACAGAAGCAGACTCCTAGGCAGACGCTGCGGGGGGAGAGGGGCTTGTTTCTAGGGAACAGGAGATGTGGCCTCTCCAAGGCTGTTGTCCTGAAGGGTGGCTCAGGCATCCAAACCTGGAGATTCATGCTGCTTCTCAGTGTGTCCACCCTGGGCCCACAGGCTACATGTCCCCTTTATTTTTTAAAATTACAAACACGTTGAAAAAATAAAGGAAGCCTCCTGCCTTGCATCCACCCACTCCATCATCTACTGTGTACCAGGCAAAACCAGGCCTCTTCCCTCAGGCAGCTGGGCACCTTGGTGACCCCAATGGGCTGACACCGGTGTCCAAGCTGAGGAGGGGAAGGCGCCCCACCCGGCCCCTCTACTGCGACACCCCAAAAGCTCTGGTTCGGAAGGGAGCCACAGATTCAAGAAACAAGTCTAACGTGCTTTGGGGTTAGGGTGATTAGTTTTGAAATTGTTGGAAAACGTGTGTGTTTTTCTTGGGTCCATCAGAGGTCTGAAACCTTAATGCTTAAATCGCCAGGATTACATGAATTTCCTCTCAAAATCGCCACGGTAGGAAAGCCTGTAACGTGGTTTGGCTGTGCCCACGGCTGTGTAAGGCCACACCAGCGCCCCGCGGGGGACGCCTGTTCCTGCAGTCCGCGCGGGTGTGCCTTGGCTGCCTCCGACGGAGGGGCCCACGGAAGACCTGGCCACGCGTCCCCGGGGAAAGCCAGCTCACGGTGCCCGGGGTGCAGAAATGGCTCAGGGGTGCTGGCACCACCCGATTTACTGTGCTCTGCGTCTCTCTTCTGCAAAAAAAAAAAAAAAAGAAAGAAAGAAAGAAAGAAAGAAAGCGGGGTGGAGTGTGGGGCGTCCGCAGGCAGGCGGAGCGTGGAAGCCCAGGAGCGCCCTCCCCTCCCACACCGCCAGCCGAGGCGCCGCCGACCCCGCCAGCGCGCAGCCCTGTCGGCCGGCCTGGTCTCCGGAGGGGCAGCGCAAGGCCCCAGGCCGCGAGCAAGCCGGGGCCGGGCAGCCCCACGGGGAAGCAGCACACAGAAGGCGGCCGCAGTCCACGCGAAGCCGGGCCGCGAAGCCCCTGAAACGTCCCTGATGCCCGACAGACCTCGGCGCGGTCCAGGGCTGGAAACAAGCACTGCGCCGGCTCCGTTCATGCGCGCCCTGCCGGCACACCTCCTCTGGCCGCCATGCTTCTATTTCCTCCTCCCTCATTAGTGAATCCTGCTGTCAATCAAGATGCTCCACCTACCAGAATGCTGGAGGTGGGCACAGAACCCAACTGACCAATTAGTTACTGCCCTGGGACTGTAGCTTCCAAGCAGAGTAAATAAAGGAGCTATACGGCTGCAGCCGATTCATCTCAACAGTAATTCCCACTTCCTGCCCCCCAGCCGCGGGCTGCCCTAGCTCCAGCCTTTTCTGGGACTTGCGAATTGTAATGCTTTTCTTTTGTGCCCTCCCCACCACTACCTTATATTCTTAAATTGATCCAGGTTGGGTCCAGGATGGTTCCCCACCTGACTGCTGCCTCCACAGCGGTAAATGCTTTATTTTTAAACTAGGGTTTCACTGAAAAAGTAACACGTGCACATCGTTTTTAAAGACCTTAAGTTTCCTTCCCACCAGAATAATGGCTTAATAGTTTTAACAGTTACGCTTGTGCATCATTGTAGAGTTTCTCCACGCACCCTCCCGCGCAGGGATTCTTCCTAACGATCTGAGTAAATCGCTTTATCCACACACAGCAAACGCAGTTGTCTGCGAGTGTGTGTGTGCGTGTGTGTGTGTGTGTGTGTGTGTGTGTGTGTGTGTGTGTCCCAGGAAGCTGGAGAAGCGCGTCCAGCACTCACTCATGGTCAACCTCCGCCTCAGTGGCTCTCGGCAGCTGGTAGCTGACCACCAACTATTGACTTGATGGTCACCAGTGAGATGCAAGTTCCCCGTGGAAGGAGCAGAATCCCCAGCGCCCTCTGGACCCAGATGTCCCTGCCACTCACCATGAGCGTGGACATGCTGGTCGGGACCTGGGGTTTAGCTCTGGAGGCACACGCACAGTTGTCCCCTGAGAGCCAACCAACCCTGTTTTCTGTCCCGTGGAAGCCACCCCGAGGGTGCCCGTGACGCACTGGCAGGCAGCGTGGCTGGGCCCACAGCCCAGCGCAGGACGCTGCCACTCTGGCCTCGGCATCGGCTCTGAGTCAGTAAACACAGCTGCCCACACGGCCCAGCTCCCGCCCCAGCAGCTGCCCTGCTGAAGTCCATCTGTGGTGGTGGTAAAGTTTGGCACATGGCTTGGGGGCCTTGCTGCCTGTGACCCCAGTGGACACCATGGGCCATGGGCTGGCCAGTGCACCTCATGAGGCCACGCAGGCTTTCGCTGCTCTGGAGCAAACAACCAGAGGTCAGTTTAATTATTTGCTGTTGTATGGCCGCTGCCTTGGCTGAGGGAGAAACACCTGGTGTCTTGCAGGGTTTGCAGTCCAGCAGGAGCCGCTGCACACACACATGCGAGACTCTGTCCCCAGACACAGGGTCTGAACCCTGACTTCCGGCTGGAGAAGGGGACAGGATCCCCGGCCTGGGCACACTCCATGTCCTCTGTGCCTCACTGAAGGCGGCTGCAGGCGGCCTCCTCATCTGACAGTGAAGCTGAGCCGTGGTGCCATCAGCCTCAGTCCCAAGAACCTGGCCCTCAGGGGTCACAGCTGAGCCAGGAGCTGGAACAGGGATCTTAAGTCTGAGTGCAGCTGTCTTTGACTTTCAGGGGCTGCTCAGTCTTGAAAACAGCCCGCAGGTGCCTCTGTGATCTGCCCTTGGACAGTGCTGATCCTGCCCCCAGTCCCTCCCGCTCACCCCTGTGGATGCAATTTCCCCACATCCTGCTCCAAATGTGCTCTGCCCCAGGGTCTTTGCACTGGCCATTCCCCCAACTGAGACTTACTCTGGACTCCACCTGACTCCCAGTCCATGCTCTCTCAGTAATCCTCTTAAATGTCACCTTCTCAGAGAGACCTCAGGGCCAGCCATCATTTAAGGCTGTAACTCTCCCCCGCCCCCAACATGCTCTCTCACACTTCCATGCACTATCTCGGGCCCCAGTGAGCACACAGGTCACACTCATACACTTGTCACTGAGAGCCTCCACGAAAGCAGGGCTGTTCCCGTGGTGCTAGTACAGTCTGGCAGGAAGCGACCCCCTAGAGTCACCGGAAGGCCAGCGAGGCCAGGGTGGTGATGTGGCCAGATGGGGCAGGAAGACGGAGCCAGGTCCTCTTCCCGAGCTGGACCTGGACAGGACTGCACCTCCCAGCCTGCCTTGCAGCAGGGAAAGCTCTGACCAATGGCACACAGGTGGCTGTCATCACGGATGGCGAGGGCCAGGTCCGGCTGGACTTTCCCCACAGAGGAGCGAGGCCTGGTGGTGTGGAGCGTGGTGATGGCAGCGTGCTCCTTACCGCAGCAGGCCTGGCCATCCTTGACCGGCACGGGCAGAAAAGTGCTGGACTCGAACTCGGGAGGCCCGGGCTCTGCATGCGGTTCCTCCATGGGTACACAGCGGGGGTCTGTCCCTTAAGATCACCACGTTGTGCAAACCACAGGGGATCCGGGGAGGGCAGCTCCAGGTCAGACCACAGCTCCCAAAACTCCACAGCCAGCGACGCACCACCAACCAAATAACAGGAACATCCTAACGTGGGGTGGCAGTGCCACCCCGTGAAGTGGCAACCATGCCAGGCCTTGGAGAGACCACAGGTGTGCTGGGAAGGGCTGCCAGGGGCACAGGGCTATGCACACACAGGCACAGCATTGTGACACCCGAGCACCAGCCACCTCATGTGCGCATGCGTGTGTACAGGTGTGTGTGTGTGCACGTCTATGCAGGTGTGTGCATGTATACAGGTGTGCATGCACGTGTGTGTACTCCTGCATGGCCCGGCCAGTGGGTGCTGCCCTGTGTTCATCCTGGCTCCTCCCAGCACAGCTGTGCACACCCCAACACGGAATTGCTCCCGGCTGTGCCCACCACGCTAGAACAAACTCCCTTTGCAAACTCCTGTCCCACACACCAGGCTGAGTGCCCACCCTCAGCCCACAAGGTCTGGAGCCCAGATTCGGGGGAGGACCTGCATCAGCCTCACCATGGTTCTGGTGCTGCACCCGCCGGCACCGCCTCCAGGAGACTCGACCCACAACCCCAGAGGAGAACACATGCTCACTTCTGTTCACTGACATCTGTCGATGGCCGCACAGAGGACCCAAGAGACACACAGCTACGGTTTTACAGAGGGGGAAACTGAGGCAGAAGGTAGTCTCAATTTCAGGACTGTCTGGCTCCTAAAAACCAGGTTCTCAACGCCCTCGAGGAAGGGCCAGCCTGAATCCACACCCCACAGTGGCCTCGGGAGCAGAGCGTCACCACTGGGCCCCACCACTGGGCCCCAACTTCCTGGTCCGCCCATCCGGGCAGCAGCCCCACCCAGCCCACACCCACTCGGCCTCAAGCTTCTGAGCGTGACCCCTCTTCCTTTCCTCAGGGTCGCCCCACAAGCCGGCAGGAAGGCCAAGCTGACCCATGAGCCCCTCCAGGCAGGGCCAGACTAAACAGCCTGGCAAAGGTTAAACAGGTAATTACCACCCCAAGGGAGGCCCTCCCCCCACAAAGCTGCGTCCTCAGCCATGCGAGCTCTGTCATCCAGGGCCGGCCGAACCATAGCTGTGTCACCAGCAGTTCCGGGGCCCTGCAGCGACTGCTGACCTCCTGGGCCGTAGCCCTGGAAGCCCGGGGCTGGGCTGGGTCATGGGAGTGGGGCGCCCCTCACCTCGCAGATCAACCCAAGCCCCTCACTCTACCAGCAGCCCACCTCACTGCCCACTGTCCCTGCCAGGACCACCCCGTCCTCCCTGGGCCATGGCAGAGAAGCGTGCCCGTCCGGTTGTCCCCAACACCCAGGGACCTCTCACACTACAGCAGCCCCCCGCTGTCCTTCCCACTAGCACCCCGCAAGGCCCTCGGGCCCTGGACTCCCTCTGCAGCCACGCCTGCCTCTGGCCTTTGCCAGCTGCCCGTGGCTGGACGCGCTCTGCAGGCTGCCCCACGGCTCTGCCTCACCTCCAGGCCACTCAGAGGCATTCTGGTCCCTCTCATGGGAGCACCAGGGACCTCCCAGGTCCCACATGCCAGTGTGCCTAGCACAGCGCCCAAGTTCAGAACAAGCCCCACCGATGTCCATGCAATGCCCACATCTGCCTGTGCCACAGTGCACAGCCAACAAAGACACCACTCACTACAGGTGGGGACACTGAGGCACGGGGCCCCAGGGAACCCGAGTCAGGAAGCAGGATTCAAACCCAGCCCTGGCTGGCTTCCAGAGACCCGGAGTCTTAGTCGCTTTATCATCGCTGGACACGAGAGCCAATGTGCACGGCTCAGAGGAGGACAGGTTTAGGCTCCTGGCTGATGCCAAGGCTGACCACAGCACAGAGGGGCAGGGCAGAGGGGAGCTGCTCACAGCACACTGCACAGGAAGCAGAGAGCGATGGGGGGGGGGGGGACGCACCCTTCCAGGTCAGCCCCGGGGCCCCACTCACAACGGAGCCCACTTCCAGCAGCCGGTGAGCCACAGAGCCCGCAGATGGACCTGGTCACCGCCGAGAGCCCTGCTTCCCAGCCCATTCTAAATGCAAACCCGGACACCTGGCTCTCCGCTGCTGCAGCACAGAGGGGCCCCAGGAGGAGACCCCAGGCGGACGGCAGGAGGATGGCAGTGTCCCTTTAGGTGGCGGTGAGAAGAGTCCAGACCGCTGGCACCAGGTCAGCACTGGCTTCCCCTGCAGCCAACAGGGCCATCGAGGGCCACTTGGGAGCAGGCTGTGACACCAGCTTCTCTCCGCAGACCAGCGTGGCTCACCTAGAGGAAGGGCGGGCACTCAGGCCAGCGGGGACATGGGGAGGGACTTGAATCCAGAACCGAGGGCAGGTCTCACATCCTCTCCATAGCCCTGCGATGTCCTGGCAGAGGGAGATGCTCCAGGTGCCACCCACACAGGGCACAGGGAGGGGCCCAGAGGATCCCTCTGAGACTAGCCAACATGAAGAGAAAGGAAGCCATGTGACGCCTTCTCTGCGGTCCCCGCTGAGGCTCCGCACACGTGGATCCTGGAGGAACACAGCGCCCTCAGGTCACGATTCTATGACATTCTCCTG